GAGTCGTTTAACAATACGAGAATATTCTCTAGAAGCCTCCAGACTTCCTGTGGACTCCCCAGGGTTGTATAACTTGTAGCACGTCGTGGTTCAGGGGGGTGAGGTGCGCGGCTGTCAGGTCCCACATCGCTGGTTCCAGTCACCGCATTCATCTTACTGATTTTCCTCGTTGATGTACACGTTAGTGTGATGTCTTGGTGTATCAGTCTGTTAATGGCGGTAAACCACAACACCAGTGTGTTAATGGTGGTAAACCACAACATCAATGTATTAACGGTGGTAAACACATCAATGTGTTAATGGCGGTAAACCACAACATCAATGTGATAACGGTGGTAAACCACAACATCAATGTGATAACGGTGGTAAACCACAACATCAATGTATTAACGGTGGTAAACCACAACATCAATGTATTAACGGTGGTAAACCACAACATCAATGTATTAACGGTGGTAAACCACAACATCAATGTATTAACGGTGGTAAACCACAACATCAATGTATTAACGGTGGTAAACCACAACATCAATGTATTAACGGTGGTAAACCACAACATCAATGTATTAACGGTGGTAAACCACAACATCAATGTGATAACGGTGGTAAACCACAACATCAATGTATTAACGGTGGTAAACCACAACATCAATGTATTAACGGTGGTAAACCACAACATCAATGTATTAACGGTGGTAAACCACAACATCAATGTATTAACGGTGGTAAACCACAACATCAATGTATTAACGGTGGTAAACCACAGCATCAATGTATTAACGGTGGTAAACCACAACATCAATGTATTAACGGTGGTAAACCACAACATCAATGTGTTAATGGCGGTAAACCACAATTTTGTATTGCTTCAATTACCGGTATTATTTCTACACAAAATTTAGAGTAAACTAACTCATTAATTCATTTAATACGCTCTATGAATATACATTGTTAATATATGTTTAATTTATAAGCGTTTAAAATCATAAACTTCGGAAATCCTGGGCGGGCGCATGTAAACTTTTGTAAACCGGCCGGGTAGGTGTAAACTAGACTCGTCCCGGCCGGGTAGGTGTAAACTAGACTCGTCCCGGCCGGGTAGGTGTAAACTAGACTCGTCCCGGCCGGGTAGGTGTAAACTAGACTCGTCCCGGCCGGGTAGGTGTAAACTGGACTCGTCCCGGCCGGGTAGGTGTAAACTGGACTCGTCCCGGCCGGGTAGGTGTAAACTGGACTCGCCCCGGCCGGGTAGGTGTAAACTAGACTCGTCCCGGCCGGGTAGGTGTAAACTAGACTCGTCCCGGCCGGGTAGGTGTAAACTAGACTCGTCCCGGCCGGGTAGGTGTAAACTGGACTCGTCCCGGCCGGGTAGGTGTAAACTAGACTCGTCCCGGCCGGGTAGGTGTAAACTGGACTCGCCCCGCCGGGTAGGTGTAAACTAGACTCGTCCCGGCCGGGTAGGTGTAAACTAGACTCGTCCCGGCCGGGTAGGTGTAAACTGGACTCATCCCGGCCGGGTAGGTGTAAATTAGACTCGTCCCGGCCGGGTAGGTGTAAACTGGACTCATCCCGGCCGGGTGTGTAAACTGGACTCGTCCCGGCCGGGTAGGTGTAAACTGGACTCGCCCCGCCCGGGTAGGTGTAAACTGGATTCGTCCCGGCCGGGTAGGTGTAAACTGGACTCGTCCCGGCCGGGTAGGTGTAAACTAGACTCGTCCCGTCCCGGCCGGGTAGATGTAAACTCGCCACGACCCGGTAGAGTGAGAGTAAACTCGCCCCGGCCCGGCAGTGCGACACTTAGGATCTGGCGCCTAAACCGTCTCATAGCTTAAAGGTGATTGGCCGGAGCATCAGGTGACGCTGCCCAATAAGAAGTGTCTAGACTCTCAAGACGATACGTTACGGGTTATTCATGCCCGTGCCACCTCTTGGGCGGCTTAATCTTTATCAATCGAAGGATAGGGAGGATAGGCTAGTTGAGGGTCACCTTAGGTCACCTTAGGTCACGCTGCTTGTCTCTGCCCCATCTAGGGTGATGGACTCTTGATGCTGGCCTGAGGTTAGGCTCGTTAAAGCGGCGGCCGATTCCCAAGAGACATTCATGAATTTTAACGTATTGTGTATTAAATATATTTTGTTCTTTTACATACAATACTATTGTTATGTATTAAAGTTCTATGTAGAGTTAGATGGAGGTCAGCCCCGAAATCATCTGAAGATAACCTCAAGATAACCAAGATTGGCGGTTGTATTAATGAGTATTTGGACTGTTGTTGATGAGGACGGGCTGGTGTTGATGAGGACGGGCTGTGTTGATGAGGACGGGCTGGTGTTGATGAGGACGGGCTGGTGTTGATGAGGACGGGCTGGTGTTGATGAGGACGGTCTGGTGTTGATGAGGACGGGCTGGTGTTGATGAGGACGGGCTGGTGTTGATGAGGACGGTCTGGTGTTGATGAGGACGGGCTGGTGTTGATGAGGACGGGCTGGTGTTGATGAGGACGGGCTGGTGTTGATGAGGACGGTCTGGTGTTGATGAGGACGGGCTGGTGTTGATGAGGACGGGCTGGTGTTGATGAGGACGGGCTGGTGTTGATGAGGACGGGCTGGTGTTGATGAGGACGGGCTGGTGTTGATGAGGACGGGCTGGTGTTGATGAGGACGGGCTGGTGTTGATGAGGACGGGCTGGTGTTGATGAGGACGGGCTGGTGTTGATGAGGACGGGCTGGTGTTGATGAGGACGGGCTGGTGTTGATGAGGACGGGCTGGTGTTGATGAGGACGGGCTGGTGTTGATGAGGACGGGCTGGTGTTGATGAGGACGGGCTGGTGTTGCAGTAGAAATGACTGGTAAAAAGACTCAAAACCCAGAAGCTAGCCTACCCTAGGCCTAACTTTACACAAAATAATAATATATAGTTATAAATTTTTAATGCGAGACAAATGTTGAATTCCACTGTAGACAGAGTGTAGGCCTACCTCAAAAGGGCAAATGCTCGTTAATATTGGCACCGAGTCATGTGTTTATGGAAGAAAATATCTTTAACACGCGACTCAACTGATGACGCAAGAGAATTTTTTTTCGAACGTTGCTCACGTCCTGTGTTCGAATTGCAACTCTGCTTCTCCCACGTACTTAAGAGCCTAAACACCTAGCCTAATCAAGGCTTAACTCTACACAAAAAGTGTAGTAAATAAAAATATTAATTTATATACGAGATATACCGATTTAGACCACACAATACACATTAACCTGGCGAATGTGTCTTTTGAGTGGCCGGAGCTTGGACCAACATGGCCTAGCTGATGCTGGCCCAAGTCTCTTTCAAAATCAGTCTCTTTCTCTCTCTTTTTTTTCCTACCTCAATTATCCCTCCCTACGGTGGCCCTCTTGCTTGGCCATTTAATTTCTAAACATAGCTCAGCTTTGGCGCCAAATATAGCTGGGTGTGGGCCGGCTTGCCGCCCTCGCCCCGCCCCCCTCCCGCCGTCGCTCCGCCCCCACCACCGTCACACACACCTCCAGGACCCGCCTCACGGCTCCACAACCTCGGCAAATCGTCAGCAAGTGGCGGAAACTATCGATTCCACAAAGCAAAATCAGCAAATGGACTACGAGTCCCGATGGCTATTATCCGGGCTGACGACGGCCGTGACGTCACTGGGCGCCTGACGCTGGAGTCAGCGTTGCCACCTCGGGATCCTGACCCTCACTATCTTCCCCCCCCCCACCCCTGCCCCTAATCAACGGTCGTGAAACCTCCCCGCCGTATCGTAATTAGTGGTAGAACAACCACTAACGATTGATAAAACACTAACTGATCAATTTCAATAGACAGAGGGTGTTACCAACACGAAGGTGGCGGGTAGAGAGGCGTGCGAGGGCGAGGAAGGTGGTGTAGCGGGTGTGGTAACAATGACCAGGTGGGCGCGAGGGGGACGGAGGTAGACCACAGAAAATATACACAATGCATTTTAGCTTACTAGTTTAAAAATTTAGCTTAAAATCCCATTAACGTGATGTACCAGTGAGACAATCAGGGCTTCAGTGGAAGCTGGGCTTCCTGACTGGGCTTCAGTGGAAGCTTCTGGACTCCTAAAGGCTTCAGCTCAATGTTGCATTGCTGTTGACCACGTCCTGGCCCATGCACCTGCCCCCGCTCTCTGTTGTTCCCTTAAATGGATTTCTTATTTCTAATTAATCAATCCGTTAACTCAATTGTGGCCCAGATAACTCCCCTGTGGGCGAGTTAACTCCTTCCGAATCGGATAACCTCCTTGTGGGCCGGTTAACTAACCCGTGCGCCTCAGAACACCAGCCATATTTATGGAGAGGCAGATCGGTAGCCGTTGAGAAGGTTGAAGTTAACAGTCATATCGCTAGTGGCCAAGTGGCTTGAACACCATGGTGGTTGGGCTAGATAATGGGGACAGGGGGAAAGCAGGATGGGAGGAGAGGGAATAAGGAGGGGAAGACAGAGAGAGGGAGAGGGGAAAGAGAGAGAGAGAGAGAGAGAGAGAGAGAGAGAGAGAGAGAGAGAGAGGAGAGAGAGAGAGAGAGAGAGAGAGAGAGAGAGAGAGAGAGAGAGAGAGAGAGAGAGGGAGGGCGTACGGGTAGCAATAGAGGATTGTCTCTTTATATCGGCCGGTTGGCTCGTGAATTTCTTTCTTTTCTCTTACAGGAGCCGACGACTCCAATAGATATATACGTGTTACACTCCTGTTATCAGGCCTCGCCCCTGCCATAGCTCAGGGTAGGCCCTGGCCTACCCTGAGCTCCCCCGCGGAACACCACCCGACAACCGGTTACCAACCAGGTGCCCAATTGCTGCTGGGTAAACACAGGGGGAACAGGAAAGGATTAGCGCCCAGTCAATCCTCCCTGACCAGGACTTGAACCCAAGACCAAACTGGTGGCGAGTAAGCGCACCACGCCGCCCACACCTTCCTCCAAACATGCAAGTCTAAATTAGCAGTATATAGTGATGGACAGCACAGACTTCAGCAGGTGTGTCAGAAGGGCCAGGAGCTTCAGCAGGTGTGTCAGTAGGGCCATGAGCTTCAGCAGGTGTGTCAGAAGGGCCATGAGCTTCAGCAGGTGTGTCAGTAGGGCCATGAGCTTCAGCAGGTGTGTCAGAAGGGCCATGAGCCTCAGCAGGTGTGTCAGTAGGGCCATGAGCTTCAGCAGGTGTGTCAGTAGGGCCAGAAGCTTCAGCAGGTGTGTCAGTAGGGCCATGAGCTTCAGCAGGTGTGTCAGTAGGGCCATGAGCTTCACCAGGTGTGTTATAAGGGCCAGAAGCTTCAGCAGGTGTGGCAGTAGGGTCAGAAGCTTTAGCAGGTGTGTCAGAAGGGCCAGGAGCTTCAGTAGGTGTGTCAGAAGGGCCAGGAGCTTCAGTAGGTGTGTCAGAAGGGGCAGGAGCTTCACCAGGTGTGTCAGAAGGGGCAGGAGCTTCACCAGGTGTGTCAGAAGGGGCAGGAGCTTCACCAGGTGTGTCAGAAGGGGCCAGGAGCTTCAGCAGGTGTGTCAGAAGGGCCAGGAGCTTCAGCAGGTGTGTCAGAAGGGGCAGGAGCTTCAGCAGGTGTGTCAGAAGGGCCAGGAGCTTCAGCAGGTGTGTCAGAAGGACCAGTTCACACCTTATCTCTCGTGTCACAGGCTCTGGCCTCACTGTAATTCCAGGAATCGATTGATCGGTCCCTGCAGAAACCTCTCGCCTCGCTCACTGATCAATCTCTATCAACTGCTTCCCAGATCAACTGCAACAATTACTCCCTCGAGCCCCTGTCTTTCCCTCGTCAAGGCATAATATTCGTTACCTTCCAGTCAATTCTCAATTTCCACCATTGCTGCTGCTCGGCCAACCCTTCCACTCTTGTCTTGTACAGGCCTAGTTCGAGCCTCGAGCTATTAACAGCGTCATACTTTCACCTCTCTCACGTCCCCTTGGTTTCTGCACGTTACGTGGTAATTGGTTCCACAAATCAATAACCCCTGTTACTGAACCAGTATTTACCCAGGTCTTTCCTAAATCTGATAAGTTTAGATTTAGGAAAGACCTGGGGTAAATACTGGTTCAGTAACAGAGGAACCAATTACCGGGTAATGTGGTGGTGGTAGGGGTCCCCTTGATTGTTTCAAGCGTGGGTTGGACATGTAAATCACTGGGATTGGGTGGTTATAAATAGGAGCTGCCTCGTATGGGCCTATAGGCCTTCTGCAGTTACCTTTGTTCTTATATTCTTAATGTGTAGTACAATTTTGCAAGTATTTACCTACTTAAAATTTTCTTAGATTAAGGACTTGCCCGAAACGCTGCGCGTACTAGTGGTTTTACAAGATTGTAATTACTATCCTATGTATCCTCACAATCCCAATGTACCTTCTTGTATATAAATAAATAAAATAAATAAATGAATAAAAATAAATTATTAGAGTTCCGTGTCATTTCAATTTTGTGTTTCATCAGTTTTACCCTTCTACGCCGGTTCCCGTTCCATCATGGCGTTACCCTCACGTGGCTCCTCTTCATTCCATCACACAATCTTGAGGGACTTGTCAATTTCAATAATTTCATCATTCAATCATCCTTAAAGGTTTGACGCGCAAACTGATCAATCAATTCCCTTAAACTTTTATGTAGGAGACTTTAACTCAGAAGTTATTATATATATATATATATATATATATATATATATATATATATATATATATATATATATATATATATATATACACACACGGAAAACTCCCAATAAACAATCACAAATGAATCAATAAAGTAGGAGCCAAAACTTAACATTCATATAACATAAATATATAAGTTTAATTAACGTAAATGGGACGAAAATTGGCACAGGAAGGCCAAGGCGTCTTGGTTGGGGGGGGGGAGGAGGCAGGCAGAAGCATAGAAAAAAAGAGGGGGAAGAGGGGAAAAAAATAGGGGAGGCAGGAGATGAAAAAAGTGTCAGAAGAGGAAGTAAAAATTGGGTCGAGGAGTCGGAGTGTGTAGCAGTGGAGGGTGATACTAGGGGAGGGTGGCCCCCTGGTGATGGTACTAGGGGAGGGTGGCCCCTAGTGCTGGTACTAGGGTAGGGAGGCCCCTAGTGCTGGTAATAGGGGAGGGAGCCCCCTAGTGCTGGTACTAGGGGAGGGTGGCCCCTGGTGCTGGTACTAGGGGAGGGTGGCCCCTGGTGCTGGTACTAGGGGAGGGTGGCCCCCTGGTGCTGGTACTAGGGGAGGGTGGCCCCTAGTGCTGGTTCTAGGGGAGGGTGGCCCCCTGGTGCTGGTACTAGGGGAGGGTGGCCCCCTGGTGCTGGTACTAGGGGAGGGAGCCCCCTAGTGCTGGTTCTAGGGGAGGGTGGCCCCCTGGTGCTGGTACTAGGGGAGGGTGGCCCCCTGGTGCTGGTACTAGGGGAGGGTGGCCCCTAGTGCTGGTTCTAGGGGAGGGTGGCCCCCTAGTGCTGGTACTAGGGGAGGGTGGCCCCTAGTGCTGGTACTAGGGGAGGGAGCCCCCTAGTGCTGGTAATAGGGGAGGGTGGCCCCTAGTGCTGGTACTAGGGGAAGGTGGCCCCTAGTGGGAGAGAAGATGGAGACACGGAAGCCACGTTGTCGAAGGGAGATAAGGAAGGCAATATATATAGAGGGGGAGAAATAGAGACGTGAGGGAGAGAGAGAGGGGTGAGGGAGAGAGAGAGGGGTGAGGCAGAGGGAGAGAGAGAGAGAGATGCAAGAACTTGCAACAGAAGAAAACATCAAGATGGTGAAAAAGGTTCCCCCCAGAATGCAACAGATGCAGCCTCCCAACCCATCCCAAAGATAAAAGTGTGAGTTTTATATATTGTGGGTATAAGGTGGACGTCTTCCCATGGTGGTGGACAGCTGGGCGAGGAAGATGATGTCGTGTAGAGGAATACAAACGTTGCTCCATGTCGCCATTGTGGCTCACAGGACGACACAGGACTCAACACTAGAGCAACATTGTGTTGAATGAGTATACTGAGTATATAGTATATACACTACCAACACCGCCTACACCACTAACACCACCACCACAGTAGCGGGGTCGGGGCAGATATTCTTAGAGCGGTGCCACCACATGTGTTGTGTAGCGTTGTTCTCCCCCCAAACTTTACTTTGGCTTGCTAAAGTAACACAACACCTATCCCCCCCCCCCTCACACACACACACACACACACACACACACACACACACACACACACACACACACACACACACACACACACACACACACACACACACACACACACCAATAAGAGAGTACCTACCAGACAGAAGACAGACACAGGTAGGGACGCTAGAGGTGTGACTGCCGTATAGTAAGAAGCCAGACACATCACGGATCACTCACACCGCCAAACACTTTCTCATTAACGCTAATGATCTAACCACCGGAGTTGCAGTCAATTTGTCAATGTTTATCAATGATGCAAAGTTAATGAGAAGAGTCCAGGCGGATGAAGATGGTAAGGTAATCCATGATGACTTCGATAAACTGCAGAGTTTGTTCGATGAATGGCAATTAGAGTTTAACACAAGCAAGTGTAAGGTGATAGGAATGGGGGCCAGGTGCCAGGAGACCACAAGGACGGTAACCACAGAGATAAACTACCTCTCTGTAACAACTAGAAGAGTGGATATACACCAAGCTTAACTCCTGAGGCACATATAAAGAGTATAATATCAACAGCATACTCCGCATACACGAGACCAGTCTTAGAATATGCCGCCCCATCATGGAACCCCGATCTCAAAAAACACACGGAAACTCGAAAAGTTTGCAGCGAGGCTCATCCCAAAATTGCGAGGGAAATGAAGACACACTGAAAGAATTAGACCTGACGTCGCGAGAAGTGGTGGGAGAGCGGAGACATGATACAGGCATATAAAATACTCAGGGATATTGACATTGGAAAAAGAATGAAATGCTCACAATCGTAAACCAAAAGGAACAAGACGCCACGGATTGGTTCACGAAGTAAAGTTCGATCGTGCAGGCACACTTAGGACCCAGGTGAACAGTATGAACACTTAGGACCGAGGTGAACAGTATGAACACTTAGGACCGAGGTGAACAGTATGAACACCTAGCACCGAGGTGAACATTATGAACACTTAGGACCGAGGTGAACAGTATAAATAGTTAGGAGGAGGGTGAACATTATGAACAGTTATGAACAATGGTGAACAATGTTGCACATTACCAGATTATCCTGAGATGACACAAGAAGAGCCAGTCAACTGTACCTAAGAACAGAGACAGACAGACAATTAATAATACTAATAATAATAATAATAATAATAATAATAATAATAATAATAATTACTAATAGTAAAGTCTTCACACAGACATATAACATTTAATAATAATTTCCACCAAGTCTTTGACACACTCCTGAGTGCTTTATCAAGGTCTGAGTGTGTGTGAACCAGACTTACACCTCAACGTCTAATATAATTAGACATTGAGGTGTAAGTCTCGACCTAACCACACACTTAGACCTTGACACACACTCATTCCTTGCCACACACTCAGACCCTGACACACACTCAGACCTTGCCACACACTCAGACCTTACCACACACTCAGACCCTGACACACACTCAGACCCTACCACACACTCAGATCTTACCACACACTCAGACCTTACCACACACTCAGACCCTGACACACACTCAGACCTTACCACACACTCAGACCTTGACACACACTCAGACCCTACCACACACTCAGATCTTACCACACACTCAGACCTTACCACACACTCAGACCCTACCACACACTCAGATCTTACCACACACTCAGACCCTGACACACACTCAGACCTTGCCACACACTCAGACCTTACCACACACTCAGACCTTACCACACACTCAGACCCTGACACACACTCAGACCCTACCACACACTCAGATCTTACCACACACTCAGACCTTGACACACACACTCACGAGAGTGTGAAAGACTTGGTGTAAATTCCTTACAAAAACTTCACATACATACACAAGTCTGGGTTTTTATCCTAAATAATAAAAATAATTAACATTAAATAATAATAATAATAATAATAATAATAATATCTTATTAAGATGTACAAAGGATCACATTACTAGGAATAATCAGTAAGTACAATATATATATATATATATATATATATATATATATATATATATATATATATATATATATATATATATTATACACCCAGTACTACACCCTGTGCTCCCCCCATAACTTAAAAAATAATGAGTAAATGGAATGTTAAATGTATTTGGATTATAGCTAATGCTTAATACCTCGAGTGACACCTTCATCACAGTCACACTCTCCTTCTCTAATGTGTAATAAGTTGCACACTGCATATATTGACCTACAGAGCAATCATATATATTGATTCAACTGTTCAGTCAACTGTTCAATGTTTGTCTTGCTATGATTCTAATTTCTAATATTATCAATATCTATAGAAGAGGATGTCGGTGTGAGTCGAAGGCCAGATGCCTGCAGCTAGTCTCAACCATCTTTGCGGAGTGTCTGCTGGGTTTGGGGAGACTCGGCCTTAGTCGAGTACTTAGCTACTCGACTAAGGCTCCATGTGCCCACCTTTCTACGGGTACTGGCACTAATGCACACACACACACACCTGAAACCAGCAACTTAGGCAGTTTGCTCTTGCAAACAGAGTGGTAGACGGTTGGAACAAGTAAAGGGACAAGGTGGTGGAGGCCTTAACCGTCAGTAGTTTCAAAGCGTTAATAATTGTAACTACACCTAGCTAATTACACTTAAGTAGTTACACACACACACAGAAATTGATCGGGTAGATACAGTTTCTTTAACACCGGGGGCACACGAACAAGGGGACACAGGTGGAAGCTTTGTACCCAGGTGAGCCAGAATGCCTTAGGCAGTGATGTGGTGGAGGCTGACTCCATACACAGATTTAAATGTAGATATGATAGAGCCCAGTAGGCTCAGGAACCTGTACACTAGTTGATTGACGGTTGAGAGGCGGGACCAAAGAGCCAAAGCTCAACCCCCGCAAGCACTAGTAGATGAATACAACTAGGTGAATACACATGGATAAGTGGCAACACTTCAAATGAAAATCCATTAAGTAGCAATGTATGCAGTGAATTAAGTGGCATACAATAAAAATATGATTTAGTACCCAAGAAACGGGAATTATATTCTATACATACAACTTTATACAGAAAGTTTACCGTATATTATTTTTTGTTATACAAACTTTGATGTATTTTAGACTAGTATTTGGTAATATCTGTAACGAAGTAAACTAGTAATTCATCAGCTGTTACAAGTAAAGCATCATATAACATAGCAAAGTTCAAATTACAAAGACGAGGGACGGAGTACATAGAACACGTACCTCCCTAAATAGAGGGAATACAGAGAACATATACGGCATACATAGACGCGATAAAGCACCTAAATTATTGGAATCGTCTCAAAGCTCTCCAAATGTACTCACTAGAAAGAAGACGAGAGAGATATCAAATAATATACACGTGGAAGATACTGGAGGGCTAAATCCCAAATCTACACAGTAAAATAACAACGTACTGGAGTGAACGATATGGAAGAAAATCCAGAATAAAACCAGTGAAGAGCAGGGGTGCCATAGGCACAATCAGAGAACACTGAATAAACATCAGAGGTCCGCGGTTGTTCAACGTCCTCCCAGCGAGCATAAGAAATATTGCCGGAACAACCGTGAACATCTTCAAGAGAAAACTAGATAGTTTTCATCAAGGAGTGGCGGACCAACCGGGCTGTAGTGGGTATGTGGGCCTGCCGTTTATCTCAGCTAAATTAAGCCCCTTCTAACCCCCACGCCAGGGACCAACACCGGGCCAGAGAGACCAACAAACCAAGTGCAAGAACTAACAGCGCGCTAGAACAGGCCATGATCCTAATGTTGGCCAAGTGGTTAAGGCGAGTGTGGTAATATCGTTAATATCAACAAAGACAACTATGGAAATGGTTAAGTGGGAGGGAAGGAGGAAGGGGGAGAAGGTAGGATGGTCGGGAGGGATATATGCAGAGATGAAAGGGAGAAGAAGAGAGGGAGGGTGAGAGGGAGGGTGAGAGGGAGAGTGAGAGGGAGGGTGAGAGGGAGAGTGAGAGGTCTGTAATTACTATATGAGTACTGGAACACTTGATGATATATTGGACTTGTATCCAAGATTGACCATGTAATATATCATTTATTCAATATATATATATATATATGATGTAACTATATAACCTGAGCTTGTAAAAGCACCTTCATCACCTTCAGTGATTAAGTGCTTAATTGCACACTAGTTTCTTTATCAGCTATCTCACCCTGTCAGAGTAAATGAGACAGATGTATGTGAATGCATGTGTGTGTATATATGTATGTATATGTGTGTGTGTGTATGTATATGTATGGGTATAAAGTATATATGGAAGCTGATCAGAATTACATTTCACCTTTGTGAATGTACATTAATGACACTATGTAAAAGACACATCAAACACTTTATGTAGGGCATACGTAAATCTGTGTATCTATGTATTTACGTATGTACGTTAGCTTAGCATTTTAAAAGCACCGAATCACCTTCTGTGGTTGAGTGTTCAATAAACCCTTGAAGTCTATGTTTAACATTTCTCTAACCCTGTCCATGGAGGACAGAAGAAAGTGAGAGGGAGAAGGAGGGTGAGTGAGGCACCATACCTACATCCACCACACTGTTCAAACTGGCGCCTAAAAGACGCCGACGAAGGGGAGACTAGTGTAAACAGGAGGGACACCTGAGGTACTCACGTCTGTGGTGTCCACCGCTGGTCGCCTCCCGGCCTCCGTAGTCTCCTCTTTCTGTCTTCTAGTTCTCTCTCACTGAGACACAAGTATCATCAGCACATGAGGGAAGGGGGGGGGGGGGAGGGCATTTTATAACACACGTAATTGTTGAAGTCGCCGACATAAGCTACTGGTTCAGTGCGAAGTGCGGTACGGAGCACAGTACGGAACTGGGTTCGATCACCACCTACATTTACTCGCGGCCGGACCCCCCAACATGCAATCATCAACTTTAACGTATTGTGTATTGAAACAGATTTGTTCGCACACATAATTTACTATTTTATATATATATATATATATATATATATATATATAATATATATATATATATATATATATATATATATATATATATATATAAGGTTCTGTTGGCGATCATTTGTATTTGAAGAACGTGGGTGAAGCATCTACAGAGACGCGATTCGAACAGAGCTCGTCGACGATTTTTTGTCTTCGAGAAATGTTCGAACGTCATCAGTTGAGAGTCGTGTGTAAACCGTTTCTCATTCATAAACAGGGTTGTTTGGCGGCTGGATTGACGAACATTTGGCCTTTGTTGATGAGGTATGGCTGTTTATGAGGAGGTGGTGTTTATGAGGGGGCTGGGAGTCGAACAGATGGTGTTAGCGAAGCGCTGTTCAAGAACAGTGCTTCGACATCTCATGACATCATAAAAAGATCATGAGTTGTGTGGTTGTGTGTAAAGTGTTTACCACTCACAAGCAGGGGTTTGGCGGCTGAGTTAACAAGCAGTTTACTATTGTTTATGAGGACGGGATGGTTGTGCACCTTGCTAGAGGGTGACGTATGAGTAGGGTAATCAAACAAGGGATACACACACCGAGGAGTGTTATCTTGAGGTTATCTTGAGATGATTTCGGGGCTTTTAGTGTCCCCGCGGCCCGGTCCTCGACCAAGCCTCCACCCCCAGGAAGCAGCCCATGACGTGTGACTAACACCCAGGTACCTATTTACTGCTAGGTAACAGGGGCATTCAGGGAGAAAGAAACTCTGCCCATTTGTTTCTGCCTCGTGTGGGAATCGAACCCGCGCCACAGAATTACGAGTCCTGCGCGCTATCCACCAGGCTACGAGGCTCCCTGTAACCTGCTTCACGGTGTATATATACACACTGCAAGTTTACTCTGGTCCTGCACCACGTTCAGGCCCAAAACATACTTGTTCGGTGGGTCGGTAAACTGTTGTGGGTGGCCGTAATAACTCTCCAGAGGTTTATAAACCAAATGAAACCAATTTAAAACATTGACTGTCAACTTCTGCCTCTCCTCACATTAATTTTACTAATAGAATCAAAACAACATAAATCATTAAGATATATTTTGTACATATTCGCGAAGTGGCATTATATGTACATATTAGTGCACATTTGCACGTTATTATATGTACAAATATATATATAATATATATATATATATATATATATATATATATATATATATATATATATATATATATATATATATATACAGACTAAAGGATGGTTTGTGTATTTATGTAAAACCCTAACCAGAAAACCCTAACCCAACCACACTCAGGTATAACTTTGACCAATCTCGCACTGATGTTATCATCAATCAATGATCTTCGAATCTGACCACGAAACAAGATATATTGATATCTTGTTAGGATATCTGGGTTAGGATACGACCAACATCTCCACTTCCTTCACGAGTAGTCCACATTCTCTTGACTCACCACCAATCAGAGTGGGGCAAGGTGCACTCACTCGACCAATCACACACACACACACACAATCCAGGGGGGGGGGCCTGGTGGATAGCGCGCAGGACTCGTAATTCTGTGGTACGGGTTCAATTCCCGCACCAGGTAGAAACAAATGGGCAAAGTTTCTTTCACCCTATGCCCCTGTTACCTAACAGTAAATAGGTACCTGGGAATTAGTCAGCTGTCACGGGCTGCTTCCTGGGGTGTGTGTGTATGTGTGGTGTGGAGAAAAAAAAAGTAGTTAGTAAACAGTTGATTGACAGTTGAGAGGCGGGCCGAAAGAGCAAAGCTCAACCCCCGTAAACACAACTAGGTGAATACACACACACACACACGCAAACACACACACACACACACACACACACACTCACACACACACACACACACACACACACACACACACACACACACACACACACACACACACACACACACACACACACACACACACACACACACACACACACACACACACACACACACACACACACACACACACACACACACAAACACACACACACACACACACCACACACACACACACACACACACACACACACACACACACCCCACACACACCACACACACATACACACACACACACACACACGCACACACACACACATACACACACACGCACACACACGCACATACACACACACATACACACACACATACACACTCACACATATGGATGATGATGTATAAATGTCAAGGTATTTTAGTATATCAATAAAGAAAGAAAATATGTGAAAAGGACAAGGCCACATGAGGCTTCAGTAACCCGCTCGAGGCCACATGGAGGCTTAAATAACCCGCACGAGGCCACATGGAGGCTCCAGTAACCCGCACGAGGCCACATGAGGCTTCAGTAACCCGCTCGAGGCCACATGGAGGCTTAAATAACCCGCAC